AAATATTAATGGTGAGGGCATTCAAGCATTAGAAACATTGTCCACAGCGATTGTATCATAACCTTCCTTGGGGACACCCAAAGCTCAGCTGCACCAGGCCATGAGCAGCTTAATACAACTTCAAAGCAACCACTTTGTGGACCTCCAGAGGTCCCTTCCAATGTAAATTATTCTAGGATTGTACTATTATCTCCTCCCTTTTCACTTTAGTTTTGTTAAACAGTGCTCCTCTTCTTTGGAATCCCCTGTTCTTCCCACACGTAATATATTGTCCTGGTCTAATTCAACACTGTACAGTTCTGGCAGGAAGTAAAACCCTCTGTAATCGCTTGTAACAAGCCACCTATAAAACTAGTGATGACAACAAAGGTTAAGGAACTAAATGAAAAGTTTACATTTAAACAGTCAGAAACGCATTACAGAACATCTTCAGAAATGGCGTCCCATTTAGCACTAAAACACTGTTAGCTATATTTTGGTATTTAAGAGGACTGAGAGAAAACAAACTTTCATTTACAGAAACGATTAAAAACAGCACAGATATTGAATTAGGCTAGATGCAGCTGCAATCTTCAAACTTAGCTTAAAACCAAATTTGAATATCTGCAACTGAAGCTTTCAAGTTATAATCATCCCATTGACCTTCCTTCTCCTCTCCCTTTTCTTTTTGGCCACTGAAGACTATTGAAAGTATCTGAGCTCCAAGTCAAGAACAACTCCCTTGTAACTACAACTGACACGGATAAAGTGAGAGCAGATTGCCTGCAAGGAAACAAGAATAAACCAGCTATTTAGAGAGATTATGTAAGGCAGCACAGAGCTGTAAAGTGAGATTTAAAGAGACACAGCTCTGCACTTCAGCCTTTTGAGTAACCATCCCAACTGGGCAATACCATAGCAACTTGAAGAGGCTCAGATAACAGAGGAAGAAGTCTTGTCAAAGGGTCCTCTAAGCTAGTATTTCATTCATAATTCTTCATTCTCACAAAACCAGTACTGTTTAGCTATTTTCTTAAAACCTTTAGAACAAAGTTCAAACACCTTTTCACCTTATCTCATGGAAATGCAATTTTTACTACAAAAATGAGCTCTATAAGAACAGAAATGAAGCATTTTGTGGACCTAAGCTTGTTGAACTCAAGGAGCTTAGCATGCTTGGTTAGCACAGTACCACACACTGAAAATCAAACTGATTATGAACAAAAACAACAGTATTAGGTCTCTCCTGAGTAAATATTTTAGCAAGTGTAAACAAGACTCCAGTTATTATGAGCAGCCAATTCCCAAACAAACACCCACAAACATCAGCTGGTTCCACAAAGAAAGGCAGGGACTATGAACTGCCACGCAAGCACCACATTATTTTACATTACATATTAGGAAGAACTAGATTGCACACTTGGCAGAATTTCGTTCCTGAAAGAGTGATGTGGCATTGGAGCAGGCTGCCTAGGGAGGTGGTGGAGTCACCATTCCTGGAGGTGTCCAAAAAACATGTGTATGTGGCACTTCAGGACATGGTTTACATGTCATGGTAGTGTTGGGTTAATGGTTGTCCACAGAACTAGTCTTTATCAGACAATCAAACAAACCTGTAAAATATAACACCTTCAGGCTTGTCCATAGCTTTTTTTAGAGCACACACATACACACAGAAATACCAATGCACAAAATAATTTTGTAGAATCACAGCATGGCAGGGACTTCTGGAGATCATTTAGTCCAACTTCCCCGCTAAAGCAGGGTCACTTAGAGCAGGTTCCACAGGCTTGTATCCAGGAGGGTTTTGAAAGTCTCCAGAGAAGGAAACTCCACAACTTCTCTGGGAGGCCTCTTCCAGGGCTCCCTCACCCTCACATAAATATGTTTCTCCTTATTTTTAGACAGAACTCCTTATGTTACAGTTTGTGCCTGCTGCCCTTTGTCCTGTCACTGGGCATCACTGGAAGAAAAGCCCAGAACTGTTGAGCAGTTGTTAGGAGATTTTACTTCTGCATTTCTTCACTTTAGAATGGAGGGGGAAAAAAAGTTAATTACCTTAGGTATTCTAATGCAAAACTGACATCTATTTCTAAACATCATTTCATTAAAACCTTCAGAAAATAACTGCATCATACATTCAGCCAACCCCAGCTGCTTTGCTAGTGATTAAATCAGAGACAGTGAGCCCAGACCACCTCCCTTCCACCTCTCCTGAAAAGGCAGATGTTACAGCAAGAAAGAAATTGGCCCAAAGTAGATGGGGAATGCAAAGGAGAGCAGGGGGAGGTGGTTGTTCTTTAAAACACAGCAAGTCCCTCCTCTGTTGCTGGACGTTTCCCCGCATCATGTCAAGCCTGCAGGTTTCTGGCAAGCAGACCAGGAGACCTGGCAGGGCTCTCAGACCACACACACACACAGGCTCTCAGCTGCACTCACACACACCAGGGACAACTTCCAGAGCAACGTGGGCTCCAACGCCCATCCCTGCTTCCCAGAGGTGGGTCCTCCCTTCGAAAGCAGCCTGTACAGAGCACCACACAGGAGGAAATTGTGTGTTTACACTGCTGGAGGTAGGTAGCACAGAGCCCTGACGTCAGAGCCATCAGTGAGTTGCAGGAACAGGCCTCCTGAGCTGCTCACAAGCTGTGCAGCACCAGCATCCGACAGAGCTAATTTCAGCAGTTCATTTGCAACTCAGTTAACTTTGGAAATGCAAATGTAGTAGTACCAGCAAATAAATAAGTAGCTCTGCGGTTTTTCTGATCAGACAGCGTAGCACTCCAAGGATAACTGTTCATTTTCAATAACTACCAGTGCCCTTCAGTCTCACCCGATGAACAACCCCATACGTTACAATATACACAGTAAATTCATTCACCTTGCTACACTGTCAAGTCTGAACACAATGGATATGAACGTAATTTCATAAAAAACATGATCATGGGTACACAGTGACAGGGTGAGATTTTGTTAAGTCCACTGCCATAGCTCAATTTGCAATTAAAAATTATGTAAAGCTAAAAGTGTGATTAAATGCAGCAGACAACTAGCTCATTATACAGCAGCAGAAAGAAAAGCCTTTCAAATACCAATTGCTCTACCTGAAATATCAGCTACTGTTGTCATGCCTGGGACTGAGTAAGAACATCACTTAGCTCATTGAAAAGAACTTTCCCAGAGACAGATTGGCAGCATGACAAATGCAGGTTGGCTACGGAAACCAAAGAGCAAATACTTTTTTTCTTATATAAAGGATAGCCACAAAAAAAACAGGGAAAAAATATATTAAAAAAATAAAAAATAAAAAACAACAACAAAACAAAAACAAAGACCTTCACACAGGTATAAGAGAAATTATTCTCCTATTTCAAAACTGTTTTGGAGTTAATTTCATTTTAAACAACTATGACTTCTTATGCATGATGTTGACAGACTTCAGCCAAGCCGGAATCATCGGGTGTGATTAGGGAGGCCCCACCACAAAAGCTGTGGGGAAGGAAGATGCTCAGACATATTTCCCAGCAAACACTCATGCAAGAAAGAAGTCACGTTTCGATGCCAGAAAAACGCCTACACTGTCCTTAATTGTGATTATCTTTCAGTGTAACCAAAAGGCTTTTGAATGATCCAGACACTCCAAGATGCAAAAGAACAGGGTATTCTTCCCTCAGCATTTTACTTTTCTACAATTGAAGACAAGGAACTGGGCAATCCTTATGCACAACAAGATATTTTATCTTTAAAATGCCTGGGCAAAATTACAATTTTGATTTAAGTGCCTTCATCCAAAGACAAACTTCACTGACTGTAAAAGGTATTCTAGTGGGTTTATCCACTGCTTGTACAGGTTACACTTCATAGAGGCATTTTTAAAACTTTAAGATAGTAGTGTTGGACTTAATACCTAACGTGAGAGCTCTACTCTGCCAAACAAGCAGGGCTCAATACTGTTCACTAAAATCAGCTGAATAAAACATTCTGTATATAAACCAATCTGTACATACATCCGCTGAACAATGCTGCACAAGGCAATCTGGCTGTATTTCAATAACACAGATCAATCTTAACCTTTCTATACCTATGGAGATATAGTATCAGATCAATTTAACCTTTGTATACCTACACAGGCATAATATCACACAAGATTTTCTGTGTTTGAGTTGCAAGTATAAGATTTTAATTTAGGAAAATACCTTTATTTAAAATATTCCCCCCACCTCCCCATGAGCACCATATCAGTAAAACCCATCTCTGTCCCTTGATTAATTACATGTCAGCTCCTGACTCTTTGATATGACAACCCATCAGCTGTCAGCTCCAAGAGTTGTGAGAAAAGAATATTAATTAGCCAAAAAATGACAACTCCTGTCCATTGATATGAGTAACAGCAACTGAAACTGGAAGACCATTCTGTTTCTGGAATAAAAGCTGGTTGTATTCACTCTCTTTAAAGAGCATAGACTATGTAGATTTCAATTAAAATGCATACCATGTAATATTTAAATATCCTCTGGACTCTAAAATCTTTTTTCCCATTTTTCCTCCCTCTATTCAACAGTCACAATTAAACACATGGCTACTGTGAAGTGTGACTAAAAATATGCACTATCTCACATATACACAGCATTAAAACAAAAGCATTTGAACAATTATACTTAAAAATACATATTCATAAAACATTTAAATAACACTGAAAATGTAAAATAAAAAGGCACAATAGGTTAACAGATAATAAAAAGGTGCAATGGGCATGTCAACCTTGAAAAGGCCCTTTTAAACTACAGTAGTGTTGTCAGGTGCCATTACCCTTTTGTTAGCCAGCTACCTGACTTCATAAATCAAGCATTACGAGCAAATGAGAGCACAATGTAAAATCAGCACTAGGCAGACTTGTCTGCTGAATAACAAGTGGCCTGTCAAGGTTTTGAGGTCACATTCAAAACTAAAAATTAATTGTAATCAACTATATTAATAAGTTTTAAAAGAGTCATATCAACAAGACTAAAGCTGGCAGATACCATTCTGTAGAGTTTGTGCTCGTGACTCCTTTCCCAGATTGGCATGGAATCCTCCTCCTAAAGTTGGTGTTTTGCCTGCACCTATTAGGGGAAAAAAAAAAAAAAAAAACCAAAAAAAACAGATATGTCAAATACAGTAACTCTATTAAAAGAAAACTTATCGTGTCACAACATTCATTATCTGTATAATTTACAACATGCCAAACTGCATTAAGAAAAGCAACAGAGGTGCTTGAAGGGCTTCAGATATCAAGTACAAATTCTATGCAATTTATTTCTTCCTTGGGATAGTATAGGAATTACACAGCTCCATAAAACCTCCTAATCTGACCTCCAAAGTACAAAAATGTCAAAACCCTGATTTTAGGCATAATATGAAAACCAATATTGTAAAATATTTCTCAAAGTAAATGATGAAACAATCTCTTAATTTTTTGCCTAAATACAGAATTTTGATAGCAAATTACTGGCATTATAGAATATAAAGCATGTTTACATTCAATAATGACTGTTGGCTACTACAAACTTAACACTTAATTTACAATAACTTCAGTTTAACATTACAGTGACACAGGCTACAAAAACTGCAAGTCTGGAACTGCTGCTTTTACACCCCAAAAGGCTGGAGACTAAAATAAGCCTGGTTATAAATCAGCATAAACTAGAGGCTGGTTCATGCGTTTGTGCCAATGCTGAGAAGCCTGAACGCAGAGTCCGCTGGGAGTCAATGGAACTACTCATGCAAGCCAGTCTTACAGAACAGGGAATTAAAACTACCAAGGACAGAAATAGCCTCCCACTAAAGCAGGAAGTTTTTTAAAAAACAATCAGGCTACTTCAAGCAGGATATTCTAATCTATCAGTTTAACAGCAAGTGAGACCAAAAAGCTAAATTGCACAGGAATGAAAACAAGTAATTTGTTAGTAATTGGACTTGTACTTAATTCAAGTAGCCTGCCTTTCAGAAGAGGGGAAAAAAGTCATCTTGTTGCCTATGATGCCTAGAGTTTTTCCTTAAGTTCTTGCTGCTATGTTTCCACATCTTACAGCAGTACTCCAGAATAAACTAGAGTAGCTTTGGCATAGAAATATACTAAGTGAGGTGTCACTTGAAAGCAGTTCAGGACATTTCTCCTACACAATTGAATAAGATACTACCATGGCAGGTAAAAGTGATGAGAAACTGGGACCTGAACTGTTCACTTACTAAACCTTCCTAGGTAGTCTCCTCTCAGCTGCATTTAATGTATATTTATGTTTGGGGGGGAAAAGAAAACCAAAACCACCACAAAACAGAAAAGGTAGTATTCCTGCAGAATTATTGTCTATAAAGCTTCAAAACTTAATTTTCCATACAACCTTTAAATTAGGTTTCCAGTGCTATCCACAACAGAAACTGACTTCATCTTCACTTCATTAACAGATCCTTTCAACAAACAATAATCAGAAGCTCTCACATAAATGCCTCAAGGCTCAAGTACTTCAGTTCATCATCCTAATTAGAAATGAAAAATATTCAGTAGTGACCTCCTCCTCACTGCATACAGTGAGGTAACCCTCCCAACTCTGTATTTTACTGCAGACTGTTACATAAGGTGATGTCTCTTTGCCATTCTTATAGGTACAGTCTCCTGTTTCCACAAATGATCCAAAACAAACCAATGAGGCAAAACAGAGAGATTACTAAACTACCCGAGCACACATAACAGTTTTGGTGTATATTTAATAAGAACAGTTTACCTGACAAAAAAGTACCAACAGTGGGAGTAGCTTTATGTTCCTTTTACTTCAGTAACAAACCTAACTTCAGAAATTTTGCCTACTTGTACACACTCAAGCACCAGGAGAGCAGAGGAGGCCCTAAACTGCAGCTGAAGAGCGGGAGCAAACAGCAGGGCAGGCTGGAGCTAGCAGGCTCGTCCAGCACTTGCATCAAAGGCACCATTGCCCTCTCCCACGAACAAAGGCTCCACTTTTCAGTCCTCTCTATCTTTGAGCACACCAAAATACTGAACTTGATTGGACTATCATTATCAAAACAGCTACATTACTCTTTTACAGGTTTCCCTGTTACTACTAAAAAACTTGTGCAAAAACTGTTTTTACAGCAGTGATAAACAATACTATTAACAAAATAATTTAACTTACTCAGAAGCTAAAAACCAGAAAGACTACAAACAAAATAAAATTAAGCTGAGATTTCAGTGCTTTCGCTCTTTAAGATTCTTTTTCATTAGACATCAAGACATAACTTTGTACATAAAAGTAATTTCTTGCCAGGCTATAGAGTCTGCAGCAGATACTAGCAGAACTGTCTGAAAGAAAAATTCTGCTATCAGAATTTATTTGCCCATTTCTCAGCCAGTTAACTGGAGAGACTGTACATCTCTAATTAGCACTTGGCTTTGAAAACTGACAGAAAAGTAGTCTGGTGAGCACTTAACGCTCAGAACTGCAAACTAATGTTGCCATTGACTATGAAGTCTCAACACCAGCTTTAATCTTTACAAGCAGAATGCAAACCAAACTCATTAACGTAACTGTTCAGCTGCGTAACAAAAAGATAATCTCTTAAAAAAAGAAAACTGTAACATCATCAAAACCATTTAAAGACAAAAAGCCCTACAAAGCTAGTCATTTAAAAAGTACAAAGGAAAGGAACAGCAATCGCTAGGCACAACCAAATTAACATCCCAGCTTAACTGGAATTTTTACATTTCTTGACCTTTTCCATTTTTCCCTCTACAGCTTCAAAAGTGAATTAAACAGGCTTTTGGTTTTTCACATTCAGCTTTCAAGATACACAAAAAAGCATTTGGTGTCTTCAAGTACTGCCTACCAAATCACCAACATTAACACTAACATTTCCCTCAGCAAACTCAAATACCTTCCCCTTCCTGAAGTTGTGCCTCCCAGGGTACACCGTCATCTACTGATTATTTTTAGAAACTCACTCAGATTCTCAGCTTTGCATAACTGAAGCCTTCTCTCCTCTTCAAGTTAGCTTTGAACATTTACATGACATTTTGGACAACAGAAGGTGTGGAGAGATGTGTTAGGCAGCTCAAATGTACAGCTGCTCAATTTTTCTGTGGTCCTCAATAAGCAACAGGTCTGAGACACCAAAGAGTATCAAACATGCAGGATGTCATATATCTGGAAGCTTGATAATACTCCATCAAAACTTATGCAGGTCCAGACCCAGCCCACAACCCCACGTTACTTAAGTGCTGAACTACAGGGACTGTCCCTCAAGCAGCCAAGGGCAGCCATCCCCAGGTCTGCTCCTTGCAGCACAGTCTGGAGCACATCTGCCATGTGCAGGGTCAGACCCTGGCACCTTGGCTGTCTCTGTCTTGCTCTACCAACTCCCCGACATCACTGCTTCTGGAGAAAAACATTCCTCAAGCAGTAAAAGGAGCAAGCAAAGCTTGAAGTCTGTGGTACCCTTGAACAGCAACAAAAAGATGACAGATAGCAGGAACAACATTTACCACCTCACACCACACAGAGAGGGCAAAGAGCAGCCAGTCGGGCATCTGTAGCTTAAAGGGCACTTCTCTGAGAGCTAGTGACATACTGAGTTTCAGCTTCAGCACCTGGAGAAGAAACAAATTCAGTTCCAGTGTTATGGATTTTGTTTCCTCTACATAAATGAGCAAGTGAAGACAGGGAATGAAGCTGCCTGCAACTTGAACTGAAGTGTATCTGTTACTTGATACGACCAGTCCTACCAAATCCCTTCCCTGTGAAATTAAAACCAAAAGACACTAGCCCTTTCTTCAGGACAAGGTAGGAGAAAAACCTTCAATTTAAATCCCACATATTTACAGACCCAGGATAAAATCTGGGTTGGGTAAAGAAAGCAGACTGTATCACGCCAATGGTTTCATAATCAGGGTAGACTAGATTATCTAATAAAAAAAAATTAATGAGCTTCCTACTTAAGTTAGACCATAAAAGTCAAAAGAGTAAGTAAACATAGACTTGAATTGTAACGGCACAAAAGCAAGTTTTCTGAACTCACAAAACTACTGAAGTCTGTAGCTGAAATAAATCTTCTCAGAGCCATTTTTACAGGGAAGTTAACAGATCTGCACACACAGCAGCCTGCTGAAATAGCACTACTGAATGAACTTACATAGAGCAGCTATTCATCTCCTCCATTGCAGGTAATAATCTATGGGCTTTATTTTCATAACTACCAACCAACAGAGACAAATGCATTGTGGTGCCCACCACACCTGAGTTTAAGTCTAAGAAACCAGCCTGAGTCCAAGCGAGATGCACGACTCAGCCTTTTCACAGCCGACAGCAGTATGCTCTGCAGCGTTTGCTGCCATCACAAGGACAGCACATAAAAGACTCAATGCCAGAAAAACAAAACAAAACAAAAAAAAAAAAAAACCACCACACACATACACTTAAATCTGATGCAAGATTGCCACCTGGAGGACTTCACAAGAGAAGCAAAAAATGATTCCGTTCATTTCAAATGTATAGCAGATCATTATTTTTTTCATTAAGTAGATGCAAGTTTCCCCTCTTCTTTCCCAGCATAACATGATTATGAATTAGTTTTGTAATGTGAAAAACTAGAAAAAGTTTAACAGGAAAATACTTTTCAGGACTTCCCAAAAAGGTCTGCAAATCCAGCATAGCCGTACTTTCTTTTCTGTGTTGCAGATTCCATCATGACCACTGTACATAATTTAAAACTAGCTGTGAATTAATCTCATCTCTAGAAATCTGGACCATGAGTATGAGGAACTTTGTTGATATTAACATTATTTTCACTCTTCAGTACCCAATGTTTTCGTTTCCAGTTTAGTGTGTGCATGACTTGTGGAACGCACTTCAGGGCAGTTCAAGACTGCACTACAAGAAATATTTTGTCAGGATTTGGTCTATCAATATATCCCTACATGGAATACAATTAACAACTACCAAGTAAACCCAAAACCTCTACTCCTTCCACTTGTGTAATATTGAAAAATGAAGAAGAATCCTTTACTGTACGTAACAACTGGCCAGGACCAGACAAAAATCACAGAATTGGATACAAACACAGTCCATCCTCTTTACTAGCTGCCTTGCTAGCACTTACTGTGATGTTAACTGCCTGCCTTACAAAGTTCCAGAAGGGGAAAAAAAAAAAAAAAAGCATAAAGAGGAATAGCTAGCAAGCGCAGCCTAAATTTTATTAAAGCTTTTCCTCCCTACATCTAGTCCCTCTCTTCTTTCCAGTTTGCTGACCATAACTTTCCATTCCCACAAACCCACCAAAAATGAAATACTTTGATAAATGCAAACACTGTTCAAGTTCTACACTTTAGGTGAATGTAGCTCACACTCGTATATGGAAAACTATCATGGAGATTTTAAGGATAAAATAGCACATACAAAACCCCTCAGTAAGCTTCCACTGGCACATCTGAAAAAATTGAGGTTATCACAGCTTTACTGAAGTGTAAACTACATTAAACTTGCCAAGGGACACCGCAGAGCAAGGGGCCATGTTCAGCACTTGTGGTACTGCAACTTGGTCACTGTAGTAAGTTGCTTATAATTTACTTGGAATAGGAAAAAAAAAAAAAAAGTATTAGCTGGAAGAAACCTTTCCTTAATATTCTTATATTTGAAACAGACTACTTACAAATGTTACAAAAACCTCCTACGCTAGAAGTTTTAACAAACACTTGGTGTGTTAAGGGCTACTAGACCACACCTTTCCTTTCTCTCCATGAGCAAAAGCTCAGGTACCTTTCTGCACGTAACATTCTTCAGGGTAAGTCCCCGGGGCCAGAACCCCACTTTTTTGGCCAGCCCACAATCACTCCATAACCCCCCTACACCCTACAGGGGGAAGTAGCACCCTGTAGGTCTTATCCAGAGTGGAGAAACACCCCTAGCCCTACCAGCTCGTCTTCTCCACCCCCCAGTTCTGCCACCTCCACTTCTGTTTCCCGTTCCCCCACGGAACGCAGTGCCTGCAGCAGCACTGCCTGCCCCCTCCTCTCTGACCACCTTCAGACAAGCCTGAGAGGGGGACAGAGGTCTCAAAACCACAAGATTTCTGTCAGTTTTGTAAAAATAGGCAGCTGGTTGAGGAAGACACATTAAGAGATAGCTAAAAGCTTCTGAAAAATAATTCTGATTGAAGTTTTTACTAGAGACATGACCCCAAACTCTGTAGCAGGACAGGGGCAGCCATAGCCCAGGGCACTGGGCACCTCTGTGGGTCCAGGGATGGGCTGAGCACAGGTGGGATGCAGGTCTGGGTTGGTGGAGCCCATAACTGGGCAGGGCAGGGCTGTGGGGAGTTGGAGACTGGCCCTGCTACAGAGTCACTGGGGCAGGGGCTGACATCCCCAAGGGTCTGACATAGGGTCCAGAGCCATGGGCAGGGCTCGGGGAGCCCCAGGGAGAAGCTGGCTGGAGCCAGCAAGGCCCAACAGTGCCTGGCAAAGCAGGAAACCCTCCCACCACTGAACCACACACACATACAGATCCCAAACATTCCTAAAGGGCAGGTTTCCAGACTGCCTGATGACTTACACCCAAGGAGCTCATAAGATGCTGTTTTTCTCAGCTTACTACCAACCATTTACAGGCAATTTCTGGAACAAAAGAAGCTGAGCTTCCCTAGACACAACATGCTGCAGGATCACAAGCTCAGTACACCTTGCAGCATTCTTTTCTCATTTGTACCTTCCAGCCTGCCACTGCACTGCTAGCACATCAGCTCTCTCAGGCAGGACTGTTTTCTTCTCCTTTGGTTAGTGTCAGGTTGAAGCCCTGGACTTCCACTTCCTCAGCTTTCTTTAAAGAAAAATTTGATGAGAGATCTGGATTATCAGTTTTGCACTATCCATGTTGAGCTTTCCTCCCCATACTCTTCAGCTTTATACTTGGGTTTTCTCCTGTCAGCCTCAGGAAAAATACTTTTGAAAACAGTTTTCTCCCAAGAACCCCACAAGGCAGGGGACTCCCACACAGATACAGTGTATGAGTGATCACAAAATCTGCCACCTTCAAACACAGCACACAACTCACAATTTGCCTTTCTGCAAAAGCAGCTGTCATAAACACAGACTGGAGAAGGGCCCAGTGGAGCATTCACATGTGATGATCCATAGGAGTCTGCTAAGAACTTAGGTATGAAGAAAAAAGAAAAGAGCAAGATTAATTCATTCCAATTAGCAGAATGAGGAATTTTCATTCAAATGCTCCCCAAATTTGCAAGCAGCCACATAGCAACCTCTTCTGGCTTTGAGACAGTCTGGACTGGTTATCAATTATAATGTGGCTAGTTACTCTTCAAAATTAGACTCGGCCAGGAAAAGCATGTGCCTCAAACATTGTCTGTGCAAATAACAGAGCTCCCTGGAACTCAGATGTCAAATGTGCACGATAACCCTCTCCCACTAGTATCTGCAAACTTTTCTAGGGTCAAATCAGTCAAGCTCAGAAACTCAGTTTCAACATACAGCCTTCACAAGCTTCAGGAGTGTAACGTGTCCAGGGTTAAGCCTCAAGCTGGACTCTTGCCTGGCTGTGACCACTTGCAACAGAACCAGAAATTAAAATTAAATGTAAAAGCGTGGGGTCTATCAAAGCTTTCACTAGCTTGTGCTTTTAGAGGACTTTCCTAGGGGAACATCACTAGAAAGATACACAGTAGCCCCCTTCCACAAAGGGGGCATCCCCTTGCTAGTGAAAGAGGTGACCCGCTCAGACCCAGCAAGTGACAGGTACGAGATGACAAGCGTCACTCATACTCAATGACACAAGAAGCTTTCCCACTCCCCAAGACAAACAGCATTAACAAGAATTGTGATCTCAGCCTAACCTGCAGTCATATATTCCATTTCCTTCAAGACTGCAGCAATGAAGGGCATTGGTGTTATTATACTGAGACAGACAGGTCATGCCCATCACCAAAGGGCATCTCATCAGGATGAGGATGACCTAGCTCTCTCTTTGCATCTTTACATAAGCACACTACCTCCTTTTATATGTCCCAACTACCATCAGGAAAGATTTCATGGCCCCTATTATTACAAATTACTTCATACCCAACTTCATAAAATTTACTCTAAATCCATCTCCACCTTGCAGTCTGCATTTCTGGGCATCTTATCACAGACTCTCTCAACTGCAAATATCTCTACTACCAACTTCTCCAAAGGAGAACAGAAGAATTAGCTAAGCATTTTCCAGAGAGATCAGATCTATGTCAAAGTCAGAGAAGTTTTGTGCTTACCAATTCCCAAAAACACAAGCTGGAAAAAAACCAACAGTATTAATATTTAGGCACACCTACACTTTATGCTGCAAGATCATAGCCCCCCAGTTCTTGGACCACAAATGGCTAAACCCCTAAAGAGCTCAAGGAACATGACCTTCCTTCAAAGACTCAAAAGAACAGCTGTGCCATGTCAGACTGAAGGACTACCTAGTCCAGTGTCCTACCTCTGGACAGTAAAGTCCATTAATATAGGTGCCTACAAGTGATCATAAAACACAGGAAGAAAGCTTGTTGTGACATGTCTCATACAGTCCTGCAGAGTCTAGCGATCTGTGGCTCAATGGTTTCCTGAGCCAGAAATAGTCTCTTTTTTGAATGGCTGTGATACATTTTTATTCTGTTTGCCCATTTTTTAACTCACATAAACTTAAGAGTCACAACCTAAGATTCACAATTTAATTAAATTTTGTTTTGTTTTGTTTTGTTTTTCTGGGGGAAAATAAATAAACAAAACTTCCTGATTCTCTTGCTTCTGAATCTCCTACATGCTAGTTTTAAAATAAGCTAGCTGCTAGATTTCTTGCAATCCAAAGTTTTTGCATTATGCAATACTGGAAAATTTATCATCCTTGCCATGTTATTCTACTGTATTTACAGACCTCTATTATATCCCCATTCAATCATCTCTTTTCCAGTCTGAAGAGGCTGAGTCTATTCAGTCATTCTAACGGAGAAGTTCTTTAAGAGGCCCTCCTCTTGATCACTGTATCTTCTCTTCTGTATCTTTTCTAGTTCTATCAGAGGTTTTTCTGAGGAGGAGGAAGACAAGAGAAACACATCATAACCACACACAGTGGTGTGGGTATGTAACTGTGTGTGTACCTGCTGGCAAATTCTTTTCCTCTCCATATCATGTATTTCCTTTTAAGTTAAGGCCTCAGACTGATGCCTTATTACATCAGCCCATTCTACATCTGGGTTCTAGAATGAAACTTGTGCATTGGGACAGGTTTTTAAGGATACCTTTATGGGTACATTGTGTTTTCTAGAAATGTTTTTTGTTGCTCTGGCAGAAGGGTTGGACTCGATCATCTCTGCAGGTCCCTTCCAACCCATAACATTCTGTGATTCCTGATACCTTCTAACATTCCCCCTCCCATTCTGTTTTTTATTTGTAGTGTGAATGAACATTGAGATAAATGTTTTTACAGAGCTATCCATTAATATCTCTAGTTGGAGATGTCCCTGCTTGGGAGGGGGGGTTGGGGGGGTTGGACTAGATGACCTTTAGAGGTCCCTTCCAGCCCAGACATTCTATGATCTCCCTCCCAAGTTATACTAGCCAGTCCAGATGCCAGCAGCCCACATGTGGAAGATCAATCCTAACTCCCAATCCCCCCTGCTACCCCACCACCCAGCTTCTAAGAGTAACAGGTCTTTCTACAGGCTTCACTACCCCAAATAATTTAGTGTTGCCAGCAAACTTCATTAACTCACCGTTCACCAGACCACCAGCCCAGATTTTACATAACTTCACTAGCACCTCTTTCACAAGACTTACTATTTATTTCTAGTCTACATTTCTGTCCTGGTCTGGGGTAGAACAGAACTAATTCTGTCCAGTGATTTTACTTTTTAGCTAAAGCTCTTCTAACTAACTGCACTTTCTGAACTTAATGGCACATTTTCACAGACAGTGTCTGCTTCTAGCAGGGATAACACCCCACATTTAGAGCTACCACCAAGGAGTGGTGTGCAGACCAAAGTCACTGCTAAATCCTGTGTACCACATAGAGGGGGGCAGAAGGTAAAGGCCACACCTGCAGGGAGAGCAGAGAGGACAGCTGACCCTAAATTCACCAGTGGGGCATTCCATCCTATATCCTTCATTCACTATAAAGTGGAAGAATCACAACGAACAAGCCCCTTCCTCCCTTCTGCTGCTTCTGCAGTGGCTAGCATCCATGGAGGCCTCTGTCCATCCTGCCTTTGATCCCAAGCCGTGTGTTCCTGAACAAGGTTCCAGAATCCAGCTCCTGTACCCAGTTGCTGTCTGCCACAGAGTCCAGTCTGGGGCTTTTCCCTGGGGGCTGCTCCCCAGCCAGGGGTGATGGTGCCATATTGCCATCGGGGGGGCTGGGTTCAATAACGGATTTGTACATATCCCATTTTATTATTATTTTCATTAAAACTGTTTTACTAATCTACATGTCTCTCCCCCTTATTCCCTTACTGTTGCCCTTTGAGGGGTAGAGGGGTTAACAGTGAGCATCTGTTACAGGTCTGGGTGCAGCCCTGACCCTCCACGGTGACTTACATTTGAGTTGTTACTCTGCTCTGCAAGTACTTTTCCTAATCTAGGACAGCTCAGATTCTTTAAAAGTGGCTGGTAAAGGATCTTGCCAATCTGCTTTTGCAAATCAAATGATCTGCTTTGTCACTTACTGACTTCGCCAGGAACTTCCAAAAGATCTACAAGGCATGACCTCACTTGGCCAAAATACATTCTTTCTCCATATTTACCTCCACATCCATCAGTTTTGTCCTCTGCTGCTTCTGTTCTTTTGCCCAAAAGGAAAAATAGTATTCTAGTCTGCATTTCCCCAAACCTGGCTACAGTAGCAAAGCGAGATCTTTCACTCATATTCAAGCACAGGCTCAGACTTCCTCAGCACACTGATGCTCAGTTGTTCAAACTGTCAAAACAATGGAAAGAAATACACACCCACACTGGAAAACAGCAGCTACACCAAACATCCCTGTGGAAGGCATCAGTGTTGAGGCTCTGGCTTCCTACACAAGGCACACTGATAGGTGAACATAAATACTGCCTGGGAAAACGTCACCGTGACCTCACACCGTCTCCCAAACCTGGGAGAACAAGAGAAGGGACTTCCTATGTGTTTATAGTAAGGTTGCTGGGCCTACTAGCAAGGACTTGACATGATATAGACAGGCCACTTTGTATTAATATAGGGGAGTGCAGGATTATCTTCCTCCTTCAGCAAACAAACACGAGATTCTGAATCCTTAACGTGCAACTTGGCAAACTAAAAGCTTCTGCTAAAGGTACCAAAGAGAAGTCAGTAATAGTATCTTAGTGCTTTCCATTCCCTTTGGCTTCTTTATGATGGAAATACATTATGAATAAAGGCATCTGTATCTATTCAGCATACTTTAGTAGAAGCCCTCGTGGATCTTGGAAGGGTTTGGGGAATCTTGTTGCACACGCAGGAGCTCTGAAGTACAAAGAGCCCCACTCAACTTCCAGCTCTGCAACAGCAAACTTGAGAGCCTTCACACTCTGCAAAACCTAGACAACAGTCTCCAAGTCACCCAGTCCTACTGAAAAAGAGCCATGGCCTCAAAAACAGTAGCCCAGGCCCCTCTGACATGGCAAACATTCCACACATCAGGGCTGCCCATGAACACCAGACTGCAGGCCGAGGAGCCTCAGCTCAAGGCATTTCATACACAGAGGATCCCTCAGAGTCACACCCCTAAAAAGCCAACAAAGACAACAAGAAAAAGTGCTAAAAACAAGCAACTTTGATGGGGACCTGCTTATGTAACCAGAAGTCAGTGAAAACTATAGCTTATTAGAAAATGTTGCTTTTAACAAGTACCTGTTTTGTGACTCAAAAGAAACGTCTGTTCCGTTGGAAAATCTCCAGCCAGCACAACACTCAGAGACAGAAATTCTGTCTTGCTTACACAAGAAGGACTCTTCTCCCCATCGTCAAGGACTTGTACCAGTATCATAGAGGCATAACAGACAGGCACACATCATGAAGACACTGTCACTGCAGCACAAATACATCTTTTCAGATTCACTGCCACCACTCAGTTTAAGCCAAACAAAAAAAAATAAATTCATAGAATTGTTTAGATTGTAAAGACCTTCAGGATCATAGAGTCCGTTACCCCAGCACAGCACGTTAAGTCCACCACTAAACCACGTCTCTAAGCACCACAGATAGAAGTCTTCTAAATCCCTCCAGTGATGGTGACTCCACCACTGCCCTGAGCAGCCTGGTCCAGGACTTGACAACCCCTTCAGTGAAGAAGTTTTCCAAAATGTCCAATATAAACCTCCCCTGGCACAACGTGAGGCCATTTCCTCTTGTCCTATTATTGTTTCTTGGGAGAAAAGAGCAACACCCATCTCCCTACAACCTCCTTTCAGGTAGTTGTAGAGAGTGAGGTAGTCTCCCCTGAGCCGCCTTTTTTTCCCCAGGCTAAACAATCCCAGTTGCCTCAGCCACTCCTCATGACACTTATGCTCTAGACCCTTCAACAGCTTCATTGCCCTTCTCTGGACATGCTCCAGCACCTCAACATCCTTCTTGGAGTGAAGGCCCCAAAACTGAACCCAATATTCAAGGTGCAGCCTCACCAGAGCCAAGTACAGAGGGACAATCACTCTTCTAGTCCTGCTGGCCACACTATTTCTGATACAAGCAGGACGCTGTTGTCATTCTTGGTGACCTGGGCACACTGCTGGCTCATAATCGGGTGGCTGTTGACCAACACCCCCCAGTCCCCTTCCACCAGGCAGCCTTTCAGCCACTCTTCTCCAGGCCTGTAGCATTACAGGGGTTGCTGCGGCCCAAGTGTGGGACCCAGCACTTGGCGTTACTGAACTTCATGCCACTGGCCCCAGCCCATTGATCCAACCTGTCAAGGTCCCTCTGTAGACCCTCCCAACCTTCAAACAGATTGACACACCTGCCCAACTTGGTGTCATCTGCAACAGGTGACCTCAATCCCCTCATCCAGACCATTGATAAAGGTATTAAAAAGAACAGGCCCCAACAGTGAGCCCCAGGGAGCACCACTTGTGACCGGCCACCAACTGGATTTAAATCCATTCCCCACAACACTTTGGGCCTGGCCATCTTATCAGTCTTTTACCCAGCAAAACCTATGCCCATCCAAGCCATTCACAACAAACATATCTGGAACACATATAAAATATATATAGAATTATACCAGTACAAACCACCCACATCCAGATTTCCTTAAAACATTTACTGTGTGACACAGGGCCCACATACATCCTTGCAGTAACTTAGCAAATCTACAAACAGAACTGTTTTTAAAGTCCTGTTCTGATGTTTCCAGAAACAGCACTTCATCAAATGCTTATATGAAGTATTGGGGACTATGTGTATGGGGACTGGCCAGAAGATCACAGTATGAACACAGAGTGAAGCCCCTGCAATCACATCTTGGTCCAGCCAGGTAAGTCCACCACAATCACGCTAAAATGTGCTCCAGTTACATTATCACTTTTACAGGCTCACTTATCTTCACAGTGCTTATCTGTCTTCATGGGTGCTAGAATTATTTTTCCAACTAACACATGAAAGCTAACTAGCTATACAAGATCAAGGAATTAATGCACTATACATCAAAAGAGATCAGCCTACAACAGCATCTCAGCATTGCACAAAAGGGAAAAAGTCCCTTAAAAGAACTTAGGAAACTACTGTGCAATTAATTCATTCAGAAGAAAAAGCCTCAGTATGGTGCACTTCTCTTTTTATCTTGTGATATTTTTTTCATAGGATAAAGGCATCCCAAAATGAGCTCTTGCTTGCATGCCATCTGTCCTGCATCATTTTGAGTGGGAGGAAAAAAAAAACAGTAGAAGCCCTTAAAAATGTAAGCTCCACAGCACCACAGGAAAAAGTGAAGGATACAAGAGCTGCTCATAAGCTATAAAAAAAAGTAACACCTACACCCTGAGTCGGAAGACAGGAACGGCATCAGACAAATTCTAGTCTACAGTAAACTCCCAAACTCCAATATGCAATGCTACTGTCTCCACCACAATTCCTCTTTCTTCTCCACAGCCACAGAACCCAGCAGTCCCCCTTGTTTCACTGCTAAGCTCCTTCCCATGCTTCTTGCTTGTTTCTTTCTCCTCATACACATTCGCCACACCCATCACATCCTTCTCTCCCCTTCCACACGTTATGTTCTCTCCACACGGCCTTCTCCCAAGCACACAGGCCTTACCCTCCAGGGCATTCACACAAACACACCAATCCTCTATTTACAGAGGAAGACTCTTGACCCTTCATTTCTAGCCTCTTTCTCCTCCACCACACTGCTCCTGTGCCTACACGTACTCCCTCTACCCCAACTAACAACACACACACACCCTTTTGCCATACACCTGGTCCATTCACACTGAGCCCCAAACCCTCCCTAACGCACCCACCCCACACCACGCAGAGCTCCAGCCCCTCGTACACCTACATCTATCCCAGAGCATCTCTCCCACCTTGCAGCACTCTTTTTCTCTATTCATCCCAGCCTCCCCCGCCCCATTTCTGTCTCATTCTGCACAGCACGCTGTCCTCACCCCATCTTCCACGTTGTTAAGTACAACCTCCCACAAGCACCATCGCTGTCCCTCCTTTACACAGCACTCTTTTATACACACCCCGTCCCCTACGCACCGACTCTGCACCCCCTTTGTACACTTCTCCCTACTGTCCTCACCGTCCAGCACCCACCACCCCATACATCAACCCCATAACCCCGCACTCTGGCACAGCACCCTCACACAGCACCC